TGAGGTGGCAAGCTGCGCACCAAGTGACCTTCGGTTTGGCAGTATTTCCGGTTTCGACTGAATGAGAAGGGGCCAGATTTCTTGCGGTGCAAGAATATTCTGAATATAGCGCGGAAGCAGTCGGTAACTCTAGTGTAATTTGAAAGGGAGCAGGCGCACAATCTAACAATTTCGCTCCCAAGCGAGCAAGCACGTGTGGATGCTGTGTGTGTGTGTGTGTGTGTGTGTGTGTGTGTGTGTGTGTCTGTGTGTGTGTGAATGAGAGAGAGAGAGAGAGCGTGGTGCTGTGCGTCGCTTGATTTTCTCTCTCTCTCTCTGTGTATGTCTGCATGCGTGTGTGTGAATAAGAGAGTCCTGCGCAGAAGAATTGACCTTATTCTAAAATGCGCCTGTTTTCGTGATTGTCTTAGAACTTCCGATTCAGTCGCCTATGGTAGAAATGACTAGGAATAATAAATAGCAGAAAATGGTCAAAGTACTTGCTCTACAAACAAATGTTTGCATGACTATACAGACCAAGTAGAATAATATAATAAAAAAATATCAAATTGCAACATCAAGCAGCGTAACGAGCAGTTTTTAACATCAAAAAATGAATGAAAGTGAATGAGACCGGAAGTCTAGAGCCAAAAAGATTCAAATGGCAGCGCCCGCTCGTCGGCGGAGAATAAGGTTAATACAAACAAGAAAAAACAGGTGACCGCAAACCTAAGGTCGTATATACGGTATTCAGTTTCTGAATGGTTTAGGCACAAGCCAACAGTTTGATGACGCTGTCTGAGCCTTACATCATACTTTTTTTTATTATGCAAGGTAATACCGGATACTGGGGTAAAACGCGGAATAGGTTTGACGGTATCAAAATTTGGATACCGCCCAAGCCTAGCGGGGGCAAATGCCTTGTTTATGTCAGAAGTTAGAGGAGAATGGCCAGAGTGGTTTGAGCTGATAGAAAGACAACAGTAACTCAAAAAAGCATTGTTACAACCGTGGTGTGCACAACACGTTCAACCTTGAGGCAGATGGGCTACAGCAGCAGAAAACCACACCGGGTGCCACTCCTGTCAGCTAAGAACAGGAAACTGAGGCTACAATTCACACAGGCTCACCAAAATTGGACAATAGACGATTAGAAAAACAATCGCCTGGTCTGATGAACCTCAATTTCTGCTCCAACATTCTGATGGTAGGGTCGGTATTTGGTGTCAACAACATGAAAGCATGGATCCACCTGCCTTGTATCAACGGTTCAGTCTGGTGATGGTGTAATGGTGTGGGCCTGTGGGGGATATGTTCTTGGCACACTTTTGGATCAATAGTACCAACTCAGCATCATGTCAATGCCACAGCCTTCCTGAGTATTGTTGCTGACCATGTCCATCCCTTTATGACCAGTGTACCCATCTTCTGATGGTTACTTCCAGCAGGATAGCGTACAATGTTATAAAGTGCGAATCATCTCAGACTGAACATGACAATGAGTTCACTGTACTCAAATGGCATCCACAGTCTCCAGATTCAATCCTATCGAGCACCTTTTGGATGTGGTGGAAGGGGAGATTCGCAGCAACTGCATGATGCTATCATGTCAATATGGACCAGAATCTCTGATAAATATTTCCAGTACCTTGCTGAATCTATGCCACGAAAGATTAAGGTAGTTCTGAAGGCAAAAGGGGATCCAACCCAGGACTAGTAAGGTGTACCTAATAAAGTGGCCGGTGAGAGTATATTGCAAAACATATGCACTTTTATATGTAATTTTGTTAGATGGGGTAAAGTTGGTTTTATTTTCACACATATTGGACTTCCATCTTAATAATATAATTCCAGAAAATATTCGTTGCAAATTCTAAATATTAAAATCACATCAGCAGCCAATGGCTATCAAAGCACATTATTCAAAGTCAATTAAATAGAGCTGATGCTGTTTTGAAGTTAATCTTATATTTGCAGGTGACTTTAGACTCAATATTTGAAGTAGCGTAATAGACTACATAGAGTCAGTGTCACAAGTTCTCACTGTTGTCGACTAATGTGCGAATTTAAAGCCTATTTTAACTCAATATTTTATTCAAGCAGCAAAACTTTTAAATAATCAAACGGAAATAATGAACACGTGAAATAAGGGAAGCATCAAGCTCTTTTAAATCACGGTTTATTTAACGTTAAGCTGTTTGTTGAATCAAACCAAAATTCCAAAAGCCAAATAATAACGCTCAACAAACACATTTGAGCTTGTGACATTTTAGCACCATAGATTCTTGCATATTTAGCAAACATCTCTGTGACAACAATCCCCGAGTTAAGATGTAAGTTGACATCAAAAACACGGAACGTTAATATACTGTAAGTCACGTAAGAACGTTTTGGTATAAGATATCGTTATTGTAATGACAGACTAAGTTAGTGTTACATACACAGTATCAGACAGTATTACCTTTTCGATTTATCGCGACATTACTTTAAAAAGACAGATCTCGATATCATAATTGCCGGACATGGTATTGAAAACAGCAAAATTTCCAAGTATTTAGAAAACAACGTTAGTACTGACCGTTAGGCTTTTTCGCAGTGATCACTTCTAACTCGCTACTGGAAGCCGCCATCTTTCCCCAAACAAGTGCACGTGGAGTGAAACAGGCATTACTCATCGAACACAGAGCGGATAGAAGCAAATCAATTGTCGACTTCATCGATATAAACGATGGCATGAGGTGCAGAATTTGTTTGATGACTCAGATTTTTGATTTACTTCCTTACTTAAAAAAGTATCTATGAAACTGTATATAGTATGTAAATAGTAGATAAGTATATAAATATCTAAAATATAAAATAAAAAAAGTTTAAGTCATATATAAAAATATTTATAAAGGTTTTACCTACACCATTGTCATTGTACAATTGTCAGCCCCTCTAAGAGAAATAGTATGGAAAAGTATGAAAAGACAATATTCGTAAAACATTAATTTTTCAAGTTGTGTGTCCATACAGTGCTCCGCATAAATGAGTACACCCTATTTTGAAAATGAATATTTTTTTTCCATTTATCAGTGAATGTAGGCAATGTATTGTAGTGCATTTAAACAAAACAGATTTATTAAACAAATATATTTATTAAAATGATGTTTTAGTCACCAAACATATTTACAAATGGAAATATAATACAATTAAATTCCCACAAAACATTGCAAAAAAAAAAAAAAAAACTACAACATTTTAACTAAACCTTTAAAAAATTTTTTTGCTTCTCTTGATATATAATCTTTTTAAAATTTGTATTTAAGATTTTTCTAAAACATTTAAATGTGGGTGTACAAGTTTTTGGACTGTTATTGTCAGTTATTTTATTAGATAAGCTCCAGATTTGGCTTCAGTATACTGACTAATGTAATGTATGTGCATGGATATAATATTGTACAGCTTAATATTAACAATATGAATTAAAAAGATAGATTTGTGAGGGTTGTACTTAGATATGCTGAGCACTGTGGTTAACAAAGTAATTTTTTTTTTAGAATATTTGAAATCTATATTTTTTATTTATACTTTCACTTGTCACATTAGCATGGGCAATTCCTGAATTAGCACATATTGTGCATATACTGTGCATGTGGTCTGAAACCAATATGAGAGGAACATTTCAAAATATCTACAGCTTTTAAACAAAATCAAACTTTCTAAACATAAACAAGGTCGATGCTCAGGTGTCACTGTCATTCTCACAGCCTGCAGTCTCCTCATTAATCAAATTTATAGAGTCTTTCATGACTCCTCATCTCCATCTGTGCTCTCTCGCCTGGTGTGTCTGCCTGTGAATGGAGACAGAAGTGCTAAAGCTTGAGTCACCAGTCTCCTTCACAGTGAATGAATCAGTCAAAGTGTTCCTGCATGTTTTAAAGACATGTGCCGACCACACAGAGGTGAAAGGGCCAGGAAAAAAATAAACAAAAAAAGGCGACCAGAGATGGGTTGTGGCTGGAAGGGCATCTGCTATGTAAAAACATGCTGGATAAGTTGGCGGCTCATTCCGCTGTGGCGACCCTGGAATAATAAAGGGACTAAGCTGACAAGAAAATGAATAAATGAACCTGGGTGGCCAGAAAGAGAAATAACAACATCCAACAAACTTAAATTTGTTCAATTATTGACTTTTTAATACTATTTCAGATAGTTTATATTTCTGAAAATAATATATCAACATTTCCCAGAGATGTGTTGCGGCTGGAAGGGCGTCCGCTGCGTAAAAACATGCTTAATAAGTCGGTGGTTGTTCCGCTGTGGTGACCCCGGATTAATAAAGACACTAAGCCGAAAAGAAAATGAATGAATGAATGAATAATGCGCAGTGGGTATTGCCTCACAGCAAGAAGGTCGCTGGTTCCAGCCTTGGCTGGGTCAGTTGGCATTTCTGTGTGGAGTTTGCATGTTCTCCCAGTGTTGGCGTGGGTTTCCTCTGGGTGCTCCGGTTTCCACCACAAACCCAAACACGTGGTATAGGTGAATTGGGTAAGCTAAATTGTCTGTAGTGTATGTGTGTGAATGAGTGTGTATGGATGTTTCCCAGTGATAGGTTGCAGCTGGAAGGGCATCCACTGCATAAAACATATGCTGGATAAGTTGGCGGTTCATTCCTCTGTGGCAACCCCAGATTAATAAAGAGACTAAGCCCAAAAGAAAATTAATTAATGAATTAGTAGTATTATTATTGTTGTTGTTGTTGTTATTAATAATAATAATAATAATAATAATAATAATAATAATAATAATTTACTAATCAGTGTAATACTTCTTTTACAGTTATACTTTTTACTGCAGTCTGTACTTTGTGTATAGTGTATTAAACATTAAAAACCACGCTTGTATTCAAGGTCTGCTTGCATACTATTGAGATTGTAGAAAAAAAGAGCTAGACGGAGAGAGAGAGAGAGAGAGAGAGAGAGAGAGAGAGAGAGAGAGAGAGAGAGAGAGAGAGAGAGAGAGAGAGAGAGAGAGAGAGAGAGAGAGCACCGATATTATATCAACCACTAAACCAGCACATGGAAATATAAGATTATTTTGGGTAGAGACTCGAGAGGGAGAGAGGGCGAGTAAGAGAGAGAGACAGAACAACAGTTCATAAGTGTGTATTGGGAGCCCCATCAGCTCAGAAGCATCACAGGCACGCGCATCTCTCAGCTGGAGCGCATCATCTGTCCATTCCGCTACTCGACTCTCGAACGCACGACACGTGAAGGTGATTTTTTCCGTATCCCGAGACCCGATATATCTGGACGAAATGCTTTCAGCAAGGTGGATTGTTGGAGGTTTTGAATGGAGGCAGCGGGACACCTCCCCATAGTTCCGAAGAGTGCGCGAGAGACGGACACCAGAGTTACCGCGTCTCGGATTGTGGAGCATCTGCTGAATTTACCTGACAATTTGTGTTTCAGTGGGATAAGCGAATATCACACGCGTCAGTATCTAAAAGAGCTTTTTAGAGCATTTTGGATAACATAGCCCATCAAATATCCTGCTTGGTCCGCCAGGTGCCCGCGTGCTTAATTTATTCTGGATAACAACAATTAATACTGCAGAATGTGTTCCCCTCCTTCTGGACTGCCCTCAGTTGCATCTAGTGAAATTGCTCGGGACCACACGGGATGAAATGGACATCAGCATTGCAATAAATTAGCCTAATTGATATTCAGCGAGAAGTCTCTTCTGAGCTATAGGAGTACATACATTTATGTATCCTGATTAAATCAGACAGCGTTTGATAGATTGCTTGGCATCTTACTGACAGTGTGAAGTCTGGAATACAAGAATAAATGAACCTGACTGGACAGACAGAGAATTAACAATATCCATCATGTTTAAACGGGGTAAGTGCGTTTTATAACTTTTATCTCTGCTGTTTGTTAATAGTTGCTCTTCGATTGTAAGGCTGTTTACCTGAATATTGCTTAGTATTATTATTCTTAGTAAAAATCACTTTGTTTTCAATCACTCCATGCTAGATGGAAACGTGATTCATAATTTAATGTATTATTTTAATCAAATTAAATATTATTTGTTTGATTTTTTTTTATATTTGCAATTCCTTAGAGAAAACACTGCATTCTGCTAAATGACTAAATGTAAATTTTATTATTATATGTTGCAGAATAAGTGTTTTCATAGATTTATTGATTTTTATTTGAGCTCTTGAAAATTTAAAATAGCACAAGGCTATTATGTTTATAAATGAAAGCTCATTGTAAAAGGTTTTAAAAGTTTATGTAAGGCTGCCGAGTTCTTCCAGCTCTCATCCGTGATGATTTTCCCAGCATCATCATGCATGTCTGCCCCCGGGTAAGCTCAGCGTAAAGCAGATGTGTTTAAAATATTCATCATCATATCATGAAATATTTTCTTAAGATGCTCTGGTGGGTGCCGCACTGCAGTTTATGGCCGGTTTTTCATCAGAAAGCATTGTGCTATCTGCCTGGCTCCAATATATCTCTTTTGCTGGCTTAAACAGGTTTGCTTCGCGCAGTCTGTCACAAATATTTATGGACATTGTTTATGACTAAATGATGAAGTGTTTAGGAAGCAAACAGTGAGTCGATAGATTAACAGGTTAGTGAAGCTGTCAGTGGGAGACAGCTGAATGACCTGCAGATGATTGTAAAGACTTGTCAGCTTGTTTTCACTAGATCGGTGGTTGTCAGTGCTGGTCCTGGAGTACTGATATATGATCGACTCATTAGTAGAGGCTCCAAGACCTGAATAGGGTGTGTCAGATAGCTAAGGGAGACATCTAAAATGTGCTGTGCCAGTATCAGAATTGATACCTCCTGCACTAGATCAAACCATATGTGGTTAAACAGATCATAAATATTATCTTACTCATCGGTGTTTACTACATTCTTACTTGCCCCATTTACCACACTTTAAATCATCTCTAGACCTCTTTTGCATGGCACCATCACAAAATTGCTTAAGCTGTGAGGATGCTGGCTGCTATAACCATGAAGTGAGTGCGTCTGGAAAACCAAATTTCCTCGGAGGAGGCCCAAAGCTCGATGCAGAGACAATTGTTATTTCAATAGACTTGACGTAGGAACGAAACACAAGTATCAAGCCTTTCACTAGCACATTAAAGACCCCTTATGAATGCCTGTGAGGAGCCTGTGGTGCAGATATGAGAAAACTGGGATGGCTTTGAACTGATTTGGATCTGATTTTCATTTACCTCAAAGTAAACCTCTACTGTGTAGGATTTTAGGAGACTGTACTGCCTTACAGACTGTGCTCATGTTTGTTTTTATCATGCATTTCTTGTAAATATCATGGATACTGTACAATCGCTTAAGCTCAAACACTTTTATATTTCCTTTTATTTAACTCTTGGAAATAAAGGTATAAAAGCAGTCACTGACCATCGAACCATTTTAAAAGGTATGCTTTGGACTTTTTAGTTGTGAATATGTATTCTTTAGGTACCAATATAACCTCGTTAGATACAATTATGTACTCTTTAAGTATCATTATGTATCCTTGAGATAGAAACGTGCCTTTATTGAAAAAGTATCACTCCAGTGACAGCTTTTGTTTATATATTTCTGAGAACGGTTGTAAAAATACCAGAACCTTGATGTTGAGAACCATGCAAAGTGCAATATAATAACAGTTTTCAAACTGGTTTCCACAAGACTAGTCCCACTCCAACACACTTGGCTGAGCCTACCTGACATGCTGGAAAACTCAAAGACCAATATAGAGCTGCAATGTTACAACAGTACTGTGTACACTACCCGACAAAAGTCCTGTTGCCTATGCAAGTTTTGGGAACAACAAATAACTTGACTTATAGTTGATCATTTGGTCGGAAGTGGCTTATATGAAAGGCAAATACCTCTAGATTGCACTTATTTTACCAAAATAAAATATGATCATGCCTTGATTTTTAATCATTAATTAGGACAGTAGGGCTTGACTATGCTTACCCCAGACATGCTCAATAATGTTCATGTCTGGTGACTGGGCTGGCCAATCCTGGTGCACTTTGACCTTCTTTGCTTCCAGGAACTTTGATGTGGAGGCTGAAGTATGAGTAGGAGCTCTGTCCTGCTGAAGAATTTGCCATCTCCAGTGGTTTGCAATGTAATGGGCAGCACAAATGTCTTGATACCTCAGGCTGTTGATGTTGCCATCCACTCTGCAGTCTCTGTGTTGAATAGGATACAGTTCAACAGATGATTAATTGAAAAACAAACTACCTTCGGCCACTTTTCCAAATGATTAACTAGAATTCATGTTATTTTTTGTTGCTCTCATAAAACTGGGATCCACAACAAGACTTTTATTAGATAGTGTAGATACATTTTAAAACTCTTATACTTTGTTTAAAGGAGACCTAATTGTTATATGATTTGATTGTCATTTATCTCAAAGTATAAACATCAACTTTGTTTATTGGTTATAACATATCATATCATATCATTGGTTATATCATCTTTTAGGGGATTTTAGAATGTACTGTATTTATTCTTTCTATCATGAGTATCATATAAATATCATACAATATACATTATAACAATTCAAAAATATACAGTCAATTTCCAATACTTATAAATTTCTTATTCCTCCAATTATTTGCAAAAATCCTGATTCAAAATCAAAACACTACAAAATACAAACCTGTTTATAGACCTCAGTCTTAAAAATATACACATAGCTGTAATTTGAAATGAATGGGCGAAATGGATGCCACAAGACTGGCAAAAGCTGCCAACAAAAGCACATCCAATTGCCATCCAACAGAGTAACTTTGCTGGGTTTTGTGTTTGTTTGGTTCGGGTGTTTTCATAATTATGAAGAAAATTTGTGTTTAAAAGTCAGAAGAACTGCTTTTAGGCTAATGAGGATTCTTTGCTCTGTTGGGTATTAATTGGCCTTTCACTTCAGAGTGCATTAGAAATGACGAAAACAATTCTGCAGCACTTTTTCTGTTGAGTCTACGACACATAAATAGAAAAGGAGTGAGAATATATTGAATTCATCGGATGCTATGCACCAGTGTGACATTTTACAGAAACGTCAGGCCTAACTGGTTGTGTGCACAAGTCTCAGCAGGGCTGTGCTGTTTCTGCTAGCACGAGGTCCAATTTCCTGAATTTTTTTCCTCAATTTCCTCCAAAACTCACTTAAACACACACAGGCATGTTTTGGTCTCACTTGGTCTAATAGAAAAGTGCAGCCACACTATTTTCTGTCTATCAGTTTCTCTAGCTTGCTCTTCGTAATTTTTGACAGTTATTAAACTGAAGCATGTATATATGCTGCAACACGGTATATTCAGATTTCAGATGCTTATCTCAAGGCAGTACTTTAGACTGTAATTGCTTTGTTGTGCTGAGTTGTCAGTATAGAGAATGGCTTTAAAATTCAGCCTTGAAATCTTGTCAAGCCTAGAAATCTACATCCGGTGACAAATATATTCTGTGCTCGAGTGAATCTGCTGCATTTATTTTTTATTTCCACTCAAGGCAAACAATTCTGACGCGCACCTGCAAGCAAACCAAGAATATTTTCCCTGCAATACCTCTGCAACGACATGAGAGAAGTAACTCTTTTGTGGATTAGCTATGATTACGCAGCTGTGAGTGGAGAAAGTCGGTGTTCAGACATGATCCCAGACTATGTTGTTGTGGGCAGATGGATGGGAGAAAGGATCGGCAGTTGGTAAGCAAAAGAGGGAACACCTGTGGCCTGACACCACTCTCCTGCACAGCTGCTCATATTCCCTATTTCTGAGACCTTCACTCATCACCACAAAAACCCACAGACCGAAATACAGAGTAACTAGAAACAACCTTTACAGCCTGCACCTGCTCAGCACTGTTATCTGTGCTACAGAATACCTGTTTTCCTATTTCTGTTGGTAAAAACCTGCTACATGAACCTTGATTCCTAGAAATAAACAAACTGCATAGATAATTGCTGTTTTCAAACAGGTTTCTGAACACACGTATCTTTCATGTCATTGACTATTCACATTGAGCTAAAAAATTGAGCTAGAAATTGACACATCAACGTTTGGTTCTAAAATCTGAGGTTCATCATTGGTTACTTGATTGATCGATCACAGAATTTAATAATATGATATTTCCTATATTTACTATCACCCATTTAAACAACTTTTTATAGCTTTTGCTGTACTAACCAGGGGTGCATTTCCAAAAACCATGGTTAGCCAACTAAGGTCGCAAGTTGTGTCGTTACAAACATAGTTAATTTATTTGGCGTTTCCTAAATCCATCATTCTAACAAACATTAGCAAACTATTTCTATTCTTATAGAACTTTCCAACTTTTAAACTTGGAATGATTAAAGAATCTCTGTTGTGTGTAATTTGCTTTCAAATGATTTTTACAGTTCAGTTTTAGCGATCTTCATATTGACAATTGCGCTCCCTTTACAGTGTGCTTTGAAAAATATAATTTAAGTCATGGCTCAGGTGACCGATTATTTAAAAGCAGAATTTACGTTACGTCTCCAAAGCTTGTGAATACAAAACAGGCCCGTAACCAGCCTGGTGAAAGGGGTGGGTTTCTTTTGACTCAAAAAGACCTTTTGCAATTATACGCCTCATTTTCTATTTGCTTATGAAATTTAAATACTGCATTTTAGTGACATTTTAAGCACTATTCTGCATTAGCTCGTTGGATGGTCATCATAACCACACCTTTTGACAATTTCAGCCGAAACTGTTGTCAAATCAATTTTAAAATGGTATGCTTTTGGTGCTTAAACAATTTTAAGGGTATTTTTTGTTTCAAGAATAAGATCCAAGATTTAGAATAGAAGTTACTAGTAAAATATTTTCACAACAATCCAG